CCAAGTATCATTATGAATTTGTGGACTAAACAATCCTTGTCGTATTCTACTCATTCCAGTTATGATCTTTACTGTCCCTCTTGTCCTGTGGGAGCCTTGTCTATTCAGCCCAGGAGTCCTTCTAACACCATACTAGTTGCTTCTGAGGATGTCTGTTTCTTCCAGGACAAGATGCTCTGGGATCTTTGTGGATACTTCCTACCTCGATCTGCCCATGCTCTCACACACAGGTGTTTGGGGGGCAAACAGGACGTGTGTGTGTGTGTGTGTGTGTGTGTGTGTGTGTGTGTTGATGCTGGGGATGGTGGCAGTGGCTTGTCCTGCATGGAAGGTGAGGAGGCTGCAGGGTGGGATGGGGGCATGGTCATTTAGGACATTCCTGAAGTGCCCAACTTGTCCCGTGGGGCCTGCCAGATTCCAGATGGTTGGGTGTGTGAGTAAACAAACACCCTTCCTGTCTAAGCCATGCTGAGCTGGGTTTTGGTTACCTGCAGCTGAAGGGATTCTAACAGGCACCAGGGGACCTCATGAATGGAGACAGAGGCATGGCAGGAAAGGGACAGGGAGGAAAAAGATGGTTTTCCCGCTAAATCTTCTCTCCCTCAGCTGCCCATCTTTGTGGGCAAGGATGCTCACTGGGGTGGTGACTTAGCATCTATAAAATCTTCCTGTTTCAGCAAAGGTGCCCTCTGGAGACAGAGTCCAGTGCATCCTGAAAGCACAGAGCTACAGAGACTTTCTTTAAGGTTGGAGTGAAAAGCCCAGTGCCTGGCTAAGTTCTGATTTCAGAAGGGGTCAGAAGGCTGTGGGTGCAGAGCTGCGGTCCTGTCTGGGAGAGTCCCGGCACAGGCCCAGGGCTTGAGGACAGAAAACCTTTGAGCACAAAACTACCAGGTGGCATTCAGATGTGGGAGGCACACGATCATCTAGTCAGCTGCCTGGCACCGGGTCTGGCTTCCAACAGGACCCCCAATATCTCCCTGTCATGTGGGGGTCCTGGCCACTGCCAGGACTGCATGGAGCATGTGCCATCCTTTACCTGTGGCAGCCCCTGAACCATAAGACTCAAAGGCATTGACAAGTGCTATAAGACAGCCTGCTTATCTCCCTGCCCTTAAAGAGAACAGGTTTTCTGTTAAGGAGCTGGCACTGACAGCCTCATGCACCATGGCTTTTTAGGGGATTGAGCGCCCAACAGTCAGCACTGGTTTATTTCCAGACAAGGGACAAGTTGGTAAAGAATTAATTTCTATCCTTTTGCCTTTCCCCAGATACAAGGTACTCATCACTGCTGAAAGAAAGAGGACAATCCAGATGGAACTGCCTAAAACATCACGCCACCCCCTGGATGTGAAGCTGGCTCACTGAACCCCCACCAACCACCTCGCCCCCTCCTTCCTCCACTGTACTCTCTTCTCAGGCTTCTATGCAGCCAGAAACCTGCAGGCATGGTGTTCAGCTTGGGTTAGCAAGAGGCCAGCACAAGTCCTCGGGGATGGTTTTCCTCCCAAATGAAAAGACAAACTTTCAGGAAGAGAAGGTATTTTGATGTGATGCCTGGAGCTGCAGTATCCATCATATGACCATGAGACTGAAACCACATGATAGTAATGGTGGATGGGGGTGCCTGCGTGGCTCAGTCAGTTAAGTATCTGACTTTGATCTCACAGTTTGTGACTTCGAGCCCCGCATTGGGCTCTCTGCTGTTAGTGCAGAGCAGAGAAAGCCCAGTTTGGATCCTCTGTCTCCCTCTCTCTTTGCCTCTTCCCCCCACTTTCTCTCTCTCTCAAAAATAAATAAACATTAAAAAAATAATGGTGGAGCAGGGAAAGGCTGGGAGCCTGAATCCCTGAGAACATTTAGAGCTGCTGTGCCAGTCCTGGACCACCCACCTCAGGAAGGACCCCCTGTTAGAGAAGCAGCAGCAGCCCTTTCTCCTCTGAGCCCCTTACAGCCCAGTGCTATTCAGGACACATCTTCCTTTGGGGGCTTATAGTATGGGTTTCTGTGGCTGCTTCCATTTTCCTTGGCATTATAAGGGCCGAGAAGAGAGGCTGAGTCTGTTCCTTAGATGGGCTCCTGACCTCCTCTCAGCTTCTCCCCAACACCCCCAACCATCAGGTAACAACACATGAAATTCTAGGTCCTGGTATTTGCAACCCCCCCCCCCCCCCCCCCACCGCTGTAGGTCAGGAAAGGACAGCAGCACCGAGGCGCCCTGGGGTTGGCTTCCCCTGGTGATGGCTCCCTCAACAGGTTTTCTCTGTTCCTCCCACCTTTAGCAGGTCCTTTTGGGGAGACACAACACTAATGGTGGCCAGGAAGGGACGTATTCAAGACATTTAGGTTTATCTTTGAAGCAACACTGAAGGATCAGGAGACAGGACTGCCTTAGCGATAGGCAATGTTGTTTCCTAGATAGGACTCCTGATGCCGCACAGCACAGAAGCAGCACCGCCTAGGCCTTTCCATGACCAATGGCACATTCCTTAAGCACAAGCTTGCGCTGCCACATCAGCACCACTCCTTCAGCAGCCTCGCACATTCGCTCAGGCCTATTCTGTCCCCCTGGTACCAGCCTCCGGACATCACACACAGCCTCCAAGACTACTTCTCACCCACCTCTCTCTTCTGTCTCTGTCTGTTCTTCCAAACTGGAATAATCGCTCTTTTCCTGAATGGAGCTTGTGCCTGCCTTGTGTACATTCTGCCTTGTACTGTGGTGTGGGGGAGTTGCCTGTCTCCTCTATAAGGTAGTGAGAGCCCTAAAGCAGGGATACCATCATCTTTGGGGCTCCCAAACCTGGAAGTAACAGGTGCTTAACATACATTTATTGAACTAACCCTTGGCTCCCAAACAGATCCTGCGGAACCACTGAGCTTCAGGCTGATGGGAGGTATAGGGAGCAGAGCCACCTCTACCAGCACCCGTAAGCCTTATAAGGGTGGCACAGGGATGTGTTGCTGCAAAACTTAAAGCCTCAGAGCCCACAGAGCATTTGTGTTCTCTCCAGATGTATGAGGGTTTGACATGCCACACACAAGTTACCCAGCCTGGGCACAAGCTTCTGCTTGTGCAGAAGGTGACACTGCACAGGGGACCCTGGGTGGCTCAGTCAGTTGAACGTCCGACTTTGGCTTGGGTCATGATCTCACAGTTTGTGGGTTCGGGCCCCACATCGGACTCTGTGCTGACAGTGTGAAGCCTGCTTCGGATCCTCTGTCTCCTTCTCTCTCTGCGCCTCTCTCTCTCTCTCAAAAATAAACATTAAAAAAAAAGAAGAAGGTGGCACTGTGGCACTTGACCTGCAGTGGGTCAAGGGGGCTGGATGGGGCCACAAGACATCAGTGGAGGTAGGACCCCCCCTGCTCCACCCCCCTCACCCCTGCTCAGAGGAGTAACCTAGTGGGTAGAGCTGCAGAAGCCTGTGTCACAGCAACACAGAACCAAGGATTGGGACCCAAACTCCTCTTTGGGAAAACCAAGTCATCAAAGGTGAAACCACAGTCACCTCTGCAACCATTCCCCTGAGAGAAGCTGAACCACAGCCCCACCTCATGCGTCCTTTTATTGAAAGGCACCTGCATTTTCACCTTGAAACACCGCAAAACAGTATCTGGAAGGCCTGGAGGAGCTCAATGTCTTCTATATAAAACAGGACTCGGTGTCTGAGCCCCCTGTTCAGCAACCAGGGATGCCAGCCCTGAGACTTTTATCTTCCCTGACAGCAGAGAGTCTCTGGGGAGCCTGGATGGAGTGGCCTCGATCCTGGCTGGGATCCCAAGTCCTGAGAAAGGGCCCCCACATCGCCCAAGGGCTGGGGTAAGCTCTGAGGAGAGCTAAAACCCACAAAGGCCAAAAGGCTGACAGACAACAGAAAAGGCAAAGATGCCTCTCAGTCCTTCATGGCTAAATACTGTTTTCCATGACCCAAATGAGATGTCTGTCAATGATACGGAAAAATGATGTGATTTTCCCATTACAGCTGGCCACAACCCTGCTTTCCTTTTCCTTCCAGGACTCACATCACTGCCTGGCTAGCCACCATGCATTTCTGGAGACCACACCCAAAGGCAGGGACCCTGAAACTGTCAGTCCTGCCTGTCCTTTAGTCTCTTGGGGATTCTCTGTCTAAAGCAGAAGCAGGATTGACAAGAGGAGGATGAGTTTCCCCCTCTCACTCAGCCAGCCACTAGTTAACATGAGAAAACAGCATCCATTCTAATCAGAATCCTGCCATTTCCGCAGCAAAGACACATATCACAGAGATGGAAGACAGGCTCCACATGAGCATCTGACCGGTGGTGGCCTGAAACTGTGCAGTGCACAGCCTGTGGGGCTGGCCTGGTGGGCCTGTCTGCAGCACTGAAACAACTACTTAGGGAAACAGCTGCAGCAATTTGAAAGAGAATATCAACCTTTTGATTCAAAAGCCTACTCTAGAGCAGAGGTTGGCAAAGTTTTTCCATAAAGCTCTACTTAGTAAGTATTTTAGGCTCTGCAAGCCACATGGTTTCTGTGGCTGCTACTCAGTTTTGCCCCTGTAGTGCAAAGCAATAGCCACTGATAATATGTCAATGAATGAATATGGCTGTGTCCACTAAAACTTTATTTACAAAAATAGGCAGTGGGGCCATAGTTTGCAGGCCCCTGCTCTAGGGACCTAAAGAGTTTACATCTAAGATGAATTATAAATGTACATATAAAATGTACATAGATGTGAAAGGGAAAAACATTAAAGGCTATTTAAGTGTGGTAGGAATTATTAATTTGCTTTGTATTTGAAATTAAAAGTTGTCTTTGACACTGTTATTTCCAATGACATGTGCATTTGCAACATTTGCATGTGCATACTCATTTATCCATATACACACAAAATCCATTGTTACTGAATGTGCATGGGTGTGCTCCCCACAGACAACCCCACATTCTGCCTCCCCATGCCCTCCTGTGCCCACCCCTGCCCTGTACATTGTGTCTCAGGAAGCAGCAGGCATACCTTGTTCTCTTTGCTGATCTCTCTGCTCCATGGACACCAGGGCAGAGAAATGCGCTTGATCATAGGCAAGAACCAGAGGTGAGCAATGGCACCTGTTGGGAGGCACCTCCAAAGGCAGGTAAATCCCTCCAAATGGGATTGGAGCAAATGCTGTGGACAGAAATGGTGAGAGCATGTGGAGCCTGAAGAGGACCTAAGTGGCATCCCTTACCACCTTGCATGAGGTGGTGGGGCAGAAGGGAGGGTCATCAGCCTTAGATCATCAGCCACCCTTGGGCTGATATTCTCAAGGCAGTAAGCTAGGTGTTGCCCATCTGGTGATGGGTGAGAGAGCTCAGGCTCACAGGTACTAGGTGGATGAGACCTGGAGCCCCATGCATGCTCAGGGAACCCCTCACTCCCTCCTGCCTCCATGGCAGAGTCCTTCTTGCTCATCCTTGTGCCTTGTCAGGCTGCACACTGGGGACAAAAGGCACAGGGCTGAGAGCTTTTCACTGTGATTTTCCCAGGGATGGCCTGCTGCCCTGAGACCTACACAGATGATCAAGAGCTCACAACAGTCAGCAGTGACATGCACTGAACACTGTCTGGAAATCCATGTTTTTCTGGATGAGCTTCTTCCTCTCCTTGTGTTCATTAAAGCATTTATATACAGAATGATATCTATGCTTCTCAAGAGCTTTCTTGTTCTATATTTTGAGAAGCTCTTCTTTTGAGTCCAAAGGAACCAACCAGAAAACTCCAGCACCAAGTTGTGAGTCAGATGGGAAATGGGAGATGAGGATTGGCTTCTTTAGCAATTGGGACACAATCATGTTCATTTCCTTACTCATCAAAGGGAGGGATGAGAGCCTAAACCCTCACTGAAACAGAACAACTTCTGGAAATATCTGCCCTGCTACAGCATCTACTTCTTAATAAGAACCTTGTCTCTCTTGGCCTTGGAATCAGTGACTCACTCACTGTATTTCTGTGAGCTGAATGCAGGCAAAAATAGCTTCTGTGATGCTTTTGAGGAACTCTCAGGTTTCCTTCCACCAGCCCTGCTTTATCCACATTAGATTTAGTTGTGATTCTGCCCACGGGCTGAGAGGTGGGGTAGGCCCACTTGGAGAGGGCTGAGCCATTGAGCACAGGTAGCACTGAAGGAAACATGGACCCAGCCTTGTGGGATCTGATGGGTACACGTCTATGTGCCCAGAGACCCCAGTGAGAGTCCTGGCTCTGTACCCAGAGAGAACAAACACCATGTTGCTGCCTGCACAGGGAAGGAGGTGGCACTGGTCAGGACCAATGTCCTTCCACTGTGACAACCATGGCCCCATTAGACTTCCTTTGGCAGTTGTGACTCAGCAAGAAGAGCCTTGTCCTAATTTGTAGGACACTCTGGAAGACCCATGACTTTTGTTAAGGCTCAGGTTTAAATTTAAGTTAGGCTGGGGGATATTCACTGTCTGACATTTACCTGGCAAGGAGACCTTTTTGAGAAGTGACCAAAGGGAAACATGGCACCAAAAGGGACTGGCTTGTGCTAGTGATGGAAGCAAAGGGAAAGTGAAAAGTCTGGGAGGGGCTGGACCTGGGAAGTTGTGCTGAGTGGCAGGGGCAGTTGCACAGGGGGTGACCTTCCTGGCCCACCTTCCCTGACCTCTCCTCTTTCCCTACTCTTTTGAGAGTGTGGTTGCCCTGTGAACTTTGGAAGTGGCCTTGCCACTTGCTTGGGCAGAAAGGCTGGAGGGAGGACCAGCTGCAGGCACCTACTGCCCTGGGTTGACCTGGTTTCTTCAAGGCTTTAGCCCTCAGGGCTTCATTCCAGCTGACACTCAGCCAGATTTCTCATGGCCACCTGCCATCGACACAAAGCATAGATGGCTGGGTGGATGGCCAGGAGTAAACCCTCCTGCCACTGGGAAAGAAAAAGAAACACATGAAATTGAGGAGAAATACTATAATCTTCATCTTCACAGAATAATGCTCTGTGGCCTTCTGGGAGCCTCAACTTGTACATTAGGCTGTCTCTTCCTTAATAGGGATGTTATGTTTTCTGGGTCATGAGTCCTACATGGTCGTTTTATTACGTATGAACTTACCTTCTCCACCTGAGTCCCTCAACATCGTATCTGCTACGACAACTATTGGTCTTCTTAATATGTGGGCGAGGACAAACACATGGAACTCCTCTAGACTCTCATACACGGGGTCCTCAGAGTTGTCCACACTAGGAGACAAAGCAAAGCAAGCCTGAGTTAGGGTTTGGGATGTCGGGGATGTTGAAGGCAGTATCTTCCATCCAGATCTTACCTCTATGGACCCTGCCTGTTGAGGCCCTCTGAAGCCACCTCCCTGCCATACCATCCACTGATGGCAAAGACATAAGCCCCAGCACCTCACCCCACCCTGCATTGAGTGGTCTCAGGGGATGATAGGAAAGAAGCTGCCTGTGATGGCTGCTTGCCACCTTTAAGACAAGGTGGCAGAGGCAGCCCACCCAGAGCACATGGCAACATGGGGGCTAGTTATCTGGGGCACTGAACAAGGATGCGGTGGGGGCTGGAGGCTTCCATTTTGGTCCATTACTATATCCAGCAGCTTGAGTTGAACCTTACCCATTAGGGGCACAGGTGTGCCTGCACACATCAGGTGGGCTGGGAGGGAGGCATTGATACAAAGATCTGAGTGCCTTTCTAGGAAATAGTCCCCCTGACAGAAAAGGGAGTGAGAAGGTTGCCTGGGTTTCAATTCTCAGAGCAACAGGGGAGTGACCCTGAATGCCCAACCCAGGCTACTTGGACCCACTGGAGCCCACATGCCTGACTCATGTCTGAGGCTCAGAGAAAGAGCTGCCTCCAAGAAATTCTTTCACTTAGAACTCAGATATTGGGGCAGAAGACTGTAGCCTTGATGTCCTTCAACAACCAGGCCACCCCAAGCAAGGAAAGAGCCCAATGAGATGAGAAAGTCAGAGCTCACAGCTTGATGGGGCCTCTGTAGGATCTGTAGTGCTAGCCCAGGTGGCAGCATTGAGACAAGTCTCTCAGGTGGCACTTGGACTTCTTCCTGAGCACTTGGGGCATGCCCAGAATTAACTGAGGGAGGTCTGTGAGGACTGAAGCAGGTGGGACCAGAGCTAGCAAGTGAGGCTCTGTTGGAGAATCCAGGGTTGGGTAGCCTGAGGAAAGAGCTCTACATTCACAGCCCACAGCTTACTGCTTGAATTACTTAAATTTTTTTTTTTAAATATAATTTTTTGAGAGAGAGAGAGAGAGAGAGAGAGCATGAGTGGGGGAGGGGCAGAGAAGGAGACAGAATCTGAAGAAGACTCCAGGCTATGAGCTGTTAGCATAGAGACTGACATGAGGCTCAGACCCACAAGCTGTGAGATCATGACCTGAGCTGAAGTCAGACTTTTAACCAACTGAGCCACCCAGGCGCCCCTGCTTGAGTTACTTCCAGAACAAAAACTAACTATTCAGGAATGCATCAATCACCTGGGAAGTTTCGTGGTTATTATTGTACATATTTTTTTTTAAGTTTGTTTATTTTTGATGATTCAAAATACCTTACTTTTATACTTAAAAATATTTGGCAGCAACCAAAAGATGAAAAAAAGTTGCACATATAGTATAAATTACTTGTCGTTGTTTGGAATCATTTGAAAGTAAACTGCCCATCTGAAATCCTAACACCTTGGAAAAGTTTAAGCACACATCCTATGAACAGAACATTCTCCTACAGCACAGTCATCAAAATCAAGGGTATGTCCAATTACTAATACACTGATAGACCTAACCACCCTGACAGATCCCAATCTTCAAACTGCCCCCAAAATGCTTTTTAAATGAAGACTCCAGCATGCTGCTTTTAGTTGTGGTGTCTCTTTAGACTCCTTTGGTCTGGAACATGTCTCAGGGTTTCCTTGACTTTCACGACTTTGACACTTTTGAAGACTATGGGCCTGGTATTTTGTAGAATGTCCTTAGTCTGGGTTCATCTTTTCCCTGATGTGATCAGATTGTATTGAATTATGTTGTGTCCTCACAGCATCCTATCAGGTGGTCTGGGCCTTTGGTCTGTCCCATTATTGGTGATGTTGACTTGGGCCACTGCCTTCAGGCCACCTGCCAGGCTTCCCCCTGCAGAGCTATTCATTTCTCCTCTGTAATTAATAAGAATTTTGTGGGGAGGAATTTCAAATCTGTGCACATAGCCTACTCCTCACCAAATTTTTATGCATTTATTGATATCACTATGGATTTCTGGTTTCTATTTTATCCAATGAATTATAATCTATTAGTGATTATTTTGATGTTCAGATGTGTCCTGATTGTGTTAGTGTGGCTCATTCAAGCTGTGTCCTTGTGACTCAGCCCCGTCATTGTTCAGAGTGCTTCCCTGACTTCTGACATAAGAATATGGTCCAGTTTCAGTTTCATCTTGTACCTTCTCTGTCTCAGCCCTGGATTCAGCCATTTCTCCAAGGAGGTTTTTTTTTAATAGTGGATAATGGTGTGTAGAAGTCAAAATATGATCATCACTATTGGGATGTCACTGCCTCTAGACTCAGTGAATGGATATGTGTGTTTTATGTGCACTCATACATGTACACAGATACTTTCATCTGTCATCTCTAAGCTAACATTGAGTTCATGGATACCTCCAATTCCAATATAACACCCCAAAGTTATTTCTACTCATAACTCCCTTCTCCAACAGTGAGAAACTTGGTTTCTATTAGTCTTAAACTCTTTTCCTTACTCGATCAATCTCTCCATATGTAAGAAACTCCACACCTCTGGTGCCACCCCACCCCCGAGTTGTCCTCTTCACCCTGCTGGCTCTGACACTCTGACTTTGATCCTCTGGTTCCTGCTGATGCCCTGCCTGCCCACTGCAGATACTCACCTTGCTTTGCCACACTGTATAGCTTTAGGGATGAATTTTTCAGGAAGGGAAGAGAAATGGAAAAGGAATGTTTTAAATACACATATACATGGTAAGTCTAAACACAATGCTCGTGGGTGTGCATTTAAAAATATCCCAGGTGATTATCCTGCCCAGCCATAGCTCAGAGGGAGGCTGCCAGGTGTGTGAGGTTCAAATGCTTCCATCAGCTGCTTGCTTGTCCCTGTCACACAGTAAGTGAGCAGGCAAGTGGACATTTGAACAAGATAGTAATTAGTAATGGACAGGAGGGAACAAAGAATTATAGCCTGCATACTCAGAGAAATATCCCAGTAAGAAATGTGGAGTGCCATTTCTTCCCTAATCCAGTGGATGGAGAGGTAAGCACTGGAAGGAGATGAGGCATCAGAGAGTCAGATATTAATGCTGAGAAGAAGAAATAGCAAGGTGATGGGTAGCTCTCTCAGCCCTGGGTTGTCAGTTGCACCTTCACTCCATGATCACTCTGGTGTCTGAATAGCTATGCAGAAGGGGCCTCACTGCAGCAACAGCACAAGGGCTGACCTAGTATGAGGCACCATTGTACTGCCACACCATTCTGTTCGTGCAAAATTTAAAGTAGAGCCATTGTATTTCAAACTGAAAAACCAGTCAATATTTGCTGAGAACTTAGTATATGCTGGCATGATAAGAGGCACAGCAGAGGCCTTCAGGTGACATCTGTCCCTCTATCTGTCTGTTGAGCCATCCACACACATATCCATCCATCTGTCCATCCACCCACCTGTCCATATATGCCCATCCATCTACCCACCATCCATTCTTCCATCCATCTATCCATCCATCCATCCACCCATCCATTCACTTGCCTATCCATCCATCCACCCACCCATCTTTCTGTCTGTCCATCCCTGGTTCTGTGCTAGGGCTGGAGCACAGAGTTGAGTCATGTTGGGAGAGGGTGATGGAGGAGAACCTGGAGCACAGCGACCTTTCTTCACACCAGTTGAGTCAAAGATCAACTGTGAGCCTTCAGTGACCCAGAAGGCAGCAGAGGAGTTCCCAGCTGCACCCTGGAGGCAGCATGAGAATCATAACATCCTTCCCTCCTTGCTTCCAGCTGCTTGCTTAAATGGTTTAGGGAGTGAGTTTGAACTGGGAGTGGGTGGTAGTTCTTGCACTTACCCCTCAAGACCACTGCCATGCTCCAGTGCTTCTGGAGCCCCGGTGTCATTGTTCTGCTGAACGTAGGTTGAGAAAATCAGCTCAGCAACTCCTTAGGCTGTTCCATGGTGCAAATAGGATTTCTGGGAGAGGACTTTGGAACTGTGACCTGCCTGTGTGAATTACTGGCATTGAGCCCACTGGCAAAAATCAGCTCTAGTGAAACCAATACTGAATATTCTCTTACACTTTTTACCTAGGGGCTTAACATCATATTTCTGTGAGCTCACTGAACAAATGCTAAACCTGGGATTGTAAACAGAATCTGGCCTTTGGGAAAAGAAATGTAAAAATCCCTAAAGCACTTAATTGGTGTTTGCTGGTAAGAAGGCTAGCATGCAAATATAACTAATTCATTCTCAAAGAGACTGCATGCCCCAAGAACTTCCTAATGTGCTCTGTGATATAACACATGCACACTCATCACGTCTTCTTCAGTGTATACCTGGGAATAGAGAAGTCCTGAGAATAGGGCCACATCATCCACCCAGTGAAAACCCCTTGGGGATGACAACCAGGGAAGACACTGGGCTGGGAGCCTTCTTCAGGTAGGACCACAAAGCAAAGGTAGTGGAGTGAGGTCCAGGTGGTATCTCAGGCCACAGAGGGTGGTGGCAGGAGTGAAAAGTACAGTGCAGATTTGGAGGTGCCCTGGCTTACATGGTAGTCACAACCCTTGGAGACCACTCAGCAAGAGCCTGTGTCATGGACAAGGAAGCCAGTCTGGGAGGCTGGCAGGGTCTTGCCCAAGGGCAGTCATCAGATTACACGGAGGGGCAGCTTGGGCACAGGCCTCCTAGGACCGACACCCCCCTCCCCCGTGTGCCTCTCCCTCGGATAGGGTGACCACATCTCCCATTTTGCTCAGGAAAGTCCTGGTTTATGAATCTTGGGTGGATAGTACCCACCTCCCTCTCCAAAATGCACTAGCTTGGATGACAAGTTGTATAGTCACCCCATTGATGGTGATGTAGTTATTGGTTTTTGGTGCGCCCTTCCATTTAAAGACATAAGATCAAAATATTTAGATTTTTACACATATACACACTTCCCTCTACCTCTAGGTATAAGATGGGGCATTACGCTTGCTCT